TAAAAGTTAATTCAAAGTCTTTTCTAAAGATAAGCAAAGGCACTAAAATAAGAAAACCATATAATATACTTTTACAAACCTACTTGAATTTAAAAGCAGTAATGCTGAGATAAGATAGGTGAACTCTCAGAGAAAATAATAAACTGATAACACCACCTGCTGAAGAGAAGAAATGCAGGAGTGACTACACAGAAAGACAACTGACATCACCAGAAATGTTTTTAATTTTTTCCTCTCCTCAACTTCTGGCACAAAAGGCATACAGGAAACCATTTTCTCAATGGCTGAAAAACTGGTCCCAATCTGACTGATATGTTCCAACTGACACCTCCTTTTTTCTCACAGCTTTACAGAGCAATAATTCTCACTTCAATCTCCAGTTTTAATGCAATATGTCGAGAATAAAAAACTGGGAAATGGTAGATTGCTACAAGATACATCAGGAGTAAAAGGTTATTACAAACAGATTAGTCCAGGGTGGAAATGACACGGGCTAAGCAGGAGGCATGGATAATCTGGGTAAGTGCCATGGAAAAATAAGTATCATGACTGGACTTAAGGCAAATGGAAGCAGTTCAAATTGGCTTTCTCCAATTCACTTAAAAACATGTGATGCCCACATGTCCACTTCCAAAAGAGTTCACCATAAAGAAACAAAAACCAATACTGTGAGGTGTTGAAAAACACATCTACCACCAGCTTCTTCCATACCACAGCAACATGAATTATTGCAGATGTTTGATAAGCATGAAAGAAAAGAGGTGGAGGGGGGGTGCCTTTTTTTTCCTTCTCCTTTTTAAGTGAGCTACCAGCATTTATTTGAAGCACACCAAGCTGTCACTAACTGTTGACCTTGCAAAGAGCAAATTTTATAAAACACACTTTGCAGTACTAATAATGGCCAGTCTTCGCGAGCGAAGATCCGGGGAAGGTCTTTACACCTTCCAGCCTGCGCATTGGATTTTTTAGGTGAGACACAGTGTGCGCGGAACTGAGCCCACCCTTTAATCCTAAGGTTCATCTGCCGGGGCCAAGCGAGCTTGGACGGTGGCAGCGAGGTCCTTAGGACGTAGGTGGGTTGCCTTTAAGGGCTGACGAGCCCCACCTGCCCGGGAGTGGCCCTGACCAGGAATCGAACCCGGGTCTCCAGTACTATAGTACGTCTATAGGTCTCAAAAGCATTAACTCCCCTCAACCCATTTTTCCTGTCCACCTAGAGACTCCCACAACTTCTCCAGCTCAGTTCTAGCAGTTTTCTACCAGGTTAACTTTTCAGAGCATTAATTACTTTGTCCAACTCCAAGTGAGTGCTTGCTTAACAGAAAGCTCAGGAACTCCTGGCTAAGGACAGGCTGTCTCTAACACCAGCAGCCCACACTTGATCCTCAGCCTTGCAGGAATAACTGATTCATTCATTGTATGAACATAAGGAAAAATTTTGGTAATGGTGGTCCAGAGAAAGGACCTCAAAAAACAGTCATTCTTAAGATTAGTTTTATAGCAAAGAGTTATTAAGTTACTTGTTAAAAAAGCCAAATATCAGCAGAAGATGGATCAAATAAAACTCTGCAGCTTAAATAATCTTCCACCAGGAACAACCTTACATGATAATTTGAGATCATGGGTTGATTAGCAAAGACTGAGAATATTTCAAAAGAATGTTACCAATTTTCAGCAAAAAAGCAACATCACAACTACTATAGCAAAACAGTGCCAGTCGCTATGCTTTCACTACAGACTAAAAAAAAAAGTAATTTAGAAACTAAAAAGGACAGATAGCATATGATGAGGAGTGACTGAACAAAACAGTTAATGGTTTGAATCAAATTTTGACACTGTTAAGACAAATACCTTATCACTACAGGACAGCATACATGCTGCAGTCAATGGGGAACACAGGAGCTGTTAAAACATCACTGCAGCTTCAGAGTAGAGATTGAGTCTTGCTCTAGAACCAAACTGAAGTCCCCTTTAATTAGCTCCACTATAAATTCCTAAGTGCTCATCCCAGCAGAGCAATCAAAGGCAGATGCAAACACTGCCAGACACATTAACCCTGGCTGCTGCACAGTCTACTGCAATCAACATGCTTTTAGCCCTGTTAGATGGGTTAAATTAGCTAAGTTTGAGTGAGTTTTTGACTTATCAGCAAATTCCTTGCTATTTCTAGTGGTTGTATCACCATGTTTTAGGGTAACTTTAAGGATGTCTGTATTTTTCCCTCCTTTAAAACTATTTGAAAACACTCCTTCTTTGGAAAAAAACCCCAAATGTAGAAAATAAAGAAGTTTCACTTTTCATCATTAGCAAAAGCAGAAACAGACTCATAGAATCTGTGAGGCATTTCATAATTCTTTGGTGAATAAAGCATTAGAACTACTGAGCTGGCAAGTGGTCTTGACCTTTGAGTCTCAAACCAAGTGTGACAACTACAGGTCCTGCTGAACTCAGATTTGCAGCAGAAACAAGTGAAATAGCATTGATGATACTTAGGCAGTCAAATATACTACTACAGGAACACCTAAACAGAAAAAAACCTGCTTTTTCTTCCCCTCACCCCCAAAATTCCATTTTGCACCCCCCACTTCTTCTTTCCCAGCTGAAACAAGTACAATTCTTTAGAGTAGTTAGAGTGTGGTTAGGCAGAGGAAGCTATGCTTGTTTGCATGAATCTGCTATTTCCTCCCTGCCAAAACACTTGTTTAAAGAAGTCATGTAATATTTCTATTAAGCTGTAAATGCAGTTGACAAGGAAATGGCCTACTGGCAATGCATTACCTTTGTGGTAGTGCCAACCAGCCTATAGCAAAATAGTGCACACGGTAATTTCACTGTGCATTCTCAGGCAACAAAATTGTGCCTTACATAAACACCACAGAACTCAAGCAACATCTAGAAAAAGCAATGAAAATTTGCCCAAGCTTTCATGTTTGCCTGTATCAATTCTGTGTCATAACTAAAACAAAGTAGGAAAGCATCTACATATGCCCAAAAGTCCTGTGAAGTTGTATCATATGACACCAGGAAATCTATTGCAACCTAAATCTGTGTATTTCTTGTTAACCACTGTAACAACTCACTAATAAAAATTAAGAAAAACTGTAGGTATCAAATATACAAAAGAGCACTAACTGCATACAAGCCCTTAAAAACCATAACGTAATTTATTAACAAGAACGCATGTTCTATGTAATCCAGAATTGTCATGTTAAATTGCTTTGGCCTTAGATAGCACTCACTTGATTGCAAGAATTGAACAGATCCACAAGCATTCAAACTCAGTGACCTTTGATTTATAAGCAGCTATTGTCGTGCACATAAAAATCCTCACTGATTATGCAGTCCTCACCTTTCAACAGTTAGTGCAACTATATAGTGATGTTACTGAGATGTCATTAAGACATTTTCATTAGAAGTATAACCAGAAATAGGAGCCCCTGGTGGTCTAGTGGTAAAGGCGCTGCGCTATCACTGCTGAGACACGGGTTCGATTCCCGGTCAGGGCCACTCCCGGGCAGGTGGGGCTCGTTAGCTCTTAAAGGCAACCCATCTACGTCCTAAGGACCTCGCTGCCACCGTCCAAGCTCGCTTGGCCCCGGCAGATGAACCTTAGGATTAAAGGGTGGGCTCAGTTCCGCGCACACTGTGTCTCACCTAAAAAATCCAATGCGCAGGCTGGAAGGTGGAAAGACCTTCCCCGGATCTTCGCTCACGAAGACTGGCCATTAAAAAATTATAACCAGAAATCACAGCCACCTGATAACCAGTTTAATTTTTCAATCATTCTTCAAAATGTTATTTTTATGTTATTTCATCTTAAATTCCCATCAAAAACAAGCTTCAGAGATACTTATTTTCTTCACAGATTTCATCTGAGTATTTTCAGTAATTTAAAAACAGTTAATTACACAAAAAAAAAGTATGGTGCAGGAAACCTACTAAAATTTGCTTACAAAATTATGTTATGTTTCTAAATTGCAAAACACTAACTAGTTTTAACAGAGATGCACATTGCCACGAAATTTCAGGAATCATCCCTGCTCCAAAGAGCACAAACAACCAAAAACCAAGAACCCCACAAACAAAAATCAATAACCCAGCAGCACTAAATACACTTCAACTCATATAAGCAACACCCTACCGTAATCACATATGAACAGGACCTCTTCTTTCAATAGTGGTGGTTTCCTTATATTAAGATCCTGATATATGAGGCACCAGCAAAAGGAAACTGAATAAAATAATCTAGTATGCATGCCATTTTAGCAGCCAATTACAAAGAATTTTTTGAAAAAAGATACACTTGAGGCCATATAAAGTGCCTTATTAATACAAAATGGGCTTTAGATATAAAAAATTTAAGAATGGAATGTTTATTGATGCCCAGTGCAATCATCATAGCTATTCTATAGCTCATTACAAAAATAATAAAAGCCTGACTAACAGTGGCAAGTTATTCCTAGATAAACATTGTTCCCCATGAACTTCACCAAGTGATTAATTCTATTTACATTTTATTTTAAAAAATAAACTAATAAACTAATTCAGTAAGAGACTTAAGAGTCACTAATAAATAAAAGCTGTCAGATGTTACTAATATTAGCACCACTTACATAGGACAATTCTGAATCCTTCTTTAGGTCACCTTTATTTCAAAACTGCCTTTCAAAGGAGGATGGACTCTTGGTGGTGGAACTTTCCAAGTGCAGATACAGTATGCACAAGGCCCTGTATTTTGCCTTCAAGCCAATGAAATGCTTACTGCTTTAACTCCCTCTCAAGTGGAGATAAAGGCACTCTGAAACCTTACAGAAAAGCGTTAAAACACAGGCAAGTGAGTAAATAGGAAGCAACACAGAAAGTAAAAATTGTCAGTCTTAAAATGTCCATTCATAAACATACAGTTTTATGCTTCCACTATTAGGTTTTTTAAGCATTTTGTGAGTCTGCAGGGATTTTTTAAAATACAACAAACAAAAAACACCAGCACACACACTTACCCTCATTGGGTGAATATCAGCATATGGAGGTTTTCCTTCAGCCATCTCTATTGAAGTGATACCAAGGGACCAGATGTCTGCCACACAGTTATAACCAATCTCTTGTATTACTTCAGGAGCCATCCAAAACGGAGTTCCTATAACAGTATTACGTTTTGCCATTGTATCCTGTAATTATATTATTTATGCAATTAAAACAGAGACGCTTATTTTCAGATAATTTTGATATCAATTCTATATCTAAAAGTTAAATTAGCCACCCAAAGGTCAAATGGCAGTGACTTCCGATTAAGACCAAACAGATCCAGCCCATCATCCTACAGAGGCCAAATAGGTGGAATAATCATAAACCACAAACTAAAATTTAAAGTGAGATCATCAAGCACTTGACGTAACTTTGTAACACTGGTTTACAAAAACAATTATAGCCCTGCAATATACTAAAAGTTCACCATGATAAGGAATGTTAGTTCTGCCACTACCACTAGTCACTTCTCAGACACAAAATTCAAGGCAGGAGACAAAGGTAAAAGAACATGGTTAGGAGTACTAAAGCATTTTTAAAGTATCTTTGTACAGGTACTTACTGTTAACTGGCCAGCCACACCAAAATCAGCTAATTTTGCATGTCCCTCAGTGTTAAGAAGGATGTTTCCAGCTTTTATATCTCTATGTATTTTTCTCATAAAGTGCAAGTATTCAAGTCCTTTAAGAGTAGATTTCAGAATAGTTGCAATTTCATCTTCTGTTAGCTGCAAGAAAACATAAAACAATTTTCCAGTATATACATAAGGTCTATATATTTGAACTATTTAAAACATTATCACTTCATAATGATTATGATAAATAATATGATGTTTAGCTTTTTTTTTGTTTTAGCAGACCAGAAAAACTTCACTTATAAAACACAAAACAAAATCATTAAAAAATCAATCATTAAACACCTACTATAAAAAAAGATGTGTAGACTTGACAGTCCAAAATGCTTCTCTTAACTTTAATATGTTGCAGAATCATATGCCACCACAAATGATAGAATAAGCTGCAAGTCCAGTGGAAACAAGTTGACAGACATTTCATTACCAAAGAAAACACAACATAGTGAAATAAATTTGAGATATACTTTCATTTGTTGGCTTTATAAACAACACACCACTATTGAGTAAGTCATCAGTCAGCAGTTGTTTATCCTCATTGCTTTAGATCAACACAATAGGGATACATAAGCTCCTGAACAAGTGTTATCAAAGAAACAGTAAGAGCCTCTTTTTCAGGTAGCAGACCCCCTGAGAACACTGCTCAGATTTTCATCAACATTTATTCTAGATTAAAAGCAAAACACACAAACATAATTAATTCCATGTGATGCAATTTCTTAAGGAAATACAAAGAACGTATTCATATAACTGAAATGCCATTTAATTACAGTACAGTGATGCTTTAATATATGAACCAAGCAAATGAACTTGACACATTCTTAGAAATGCAAGAAACTGCAAAACAGAAGATGAATACTCTAATTTGGCTGCAATGCTAGGTTGCATTTTTCCCCTCTTTCTCTACTTTTCCAATCCTACACAGAAATTAAATTAAATTAAGCAATAGCAAATCCTTCCAGTTTCAGTTTTAAAAGCATTGGTATACATTCACACCTCCCTCCGAAAAACAACCACCACCAAAAGCCCATAAGAAACAAAAAACCCACTCATGATCACTCCCAACCAAAAGAATGACTCAACAGAAAGAAAAAAAATATTAGTCAGCAAAATTATCTGCACTTGAGCTGCTCACAACAAGTTTTAATTATTTAACAAACAGAACCACTTACCTACTCCAGGTTCTATCCAGTGTCATAAAACTGGGTGTGGAGCCCAAGGGCACAGTTACACATACATGTATTTAAACAGCAGTGCCAAGCTCCAATTCCTCCCTTCACTGCAACCATCAGCAGTAATTCCCACTGCGTGTCAGTCCTTCGACTGAACAACTGTAGCAGATCCCAGTTAAAAACAAATCCATCTGCCAAATTATTTTTCCAACAAATCAGTTCCCAGATTTAAATGACACTTAGTGCCATGGTCTAGTACCCACGGTGGTGTTGGATCAAGGGTTGGACTTGATGATCTCGGAGGTCTTTTCCAACCCGACTGATTTCATGATTCTATGATAAGGATGAAACAGAGTAGGAGCTGCTCAAACTGGCACTGCTTTCCAAATAAGTACACATGTTGTTATACCCAAAGAGTCCCAGTGACTTTTATAAACCTTGCCCTATGCAAGCAGAGGATGCAATTGATGGTGGCATTAGCTCCAAGCCAAGCAGTTACCGCCTCTGCTGCACATTGTGCATTCCTTGCCTGCCATTTACCTCTGAGATCTTTCAGTGTTTCTATTCAGCAGCACACTGCTCAAAGCCTTTATTTGTGCTACTTTATGCTGACTGCTATGCTGTTTCAAAGGACTGCATGGCAGGAGAACTGTTATACACAGCTCAAATAAGATGGTTTTCCTGGCATTGTGCCATGGGCGTAAAACCATATACCTGTTCTTGAGTCAAGCAAGAAGGGACTTTAAATCAACCGTAAGATAAACTGAAGCATGGTCAAAAGGATATTTGCAGAAGGAGACAATTCTCATTACATGAGCTAATAATTCCATAATGAATCACTAAAACTGTGATCATCTGCAGACTCATACTACAGGCAATTTATACTCTTGCTATTAACAAACACCGTATCAAGAATGGTTTAAGACATGCGGAGTGTTAACACTTTCTGCCAGAGCTTTGCCAAATACACCCAAGTTAGGAAAAATAAAATGTCCTGAATCTTCAAATACTTCCATGCAGTTAATCCTGAACATGCAACAAAAAATCATCCTGAGCACTGACAAATGTGTAGCAAGACAGGCATACAACTTACTGTTCACTTTCATCTAGAAACAAGTATTACGAGAAATTGTGCCTAGAGGACACTGCCAAGATCTTTCTGCAATATGTTGTGTTCCAAAGGAGGTAAATCCCTAGCTTTAATTCTTGAAAAATTAGTGGTTAAACCACATGGAGATCTCTGGATCATCTCTAGAGGGAAAAGTGCTTCTGCAGCTACATGGCAAAATCTAGCTCTTGGAGAGGCTAACAGAACACCGGAACCAAGAGGCTAACAAAGAATCTACGGAGTGAGAATCTATCAAACCAGAAGAGAGTTCTAGAGTACTGCAACCTGATGCACCTGGGAACCATCAGCAAAGGAATACCCTAGCATGACTAAGTGTTACAAAAGAAAGTAGTATTTAAACATCAAGATACACAGGCTTTTGATACCGTCCCTCACAGCATCCTTCTCCAAGACGAGCAGGTATACAGCAAGCTGGAGGCTGAGGGGCAGTACTCAAAGGGTTGTAGTGAATGGGGCTACATCTGGCTGGCAACCTGTCACCAGTGAGGTATCTCAGGGCTCAATTCTAGAGCCAGCTCTGTTTATTATTTTTATCAGTGATATGGATGCAGAAGTTGAATGAATGCACCATTAGCAAATTCGCTGAGGATATCAAACTCGGAGATGCTGTTTGGACAAAAGCCTTGCAGAGGGATCCAGACAGATTGGAGCACTGGGCAATGATTAATGACATAAAATTTAACAAGACTGAATGCCGTATTCTGCACTTGGGATGGAGTAATGCTTGGCACAAATATAAGCTGGTAGAGGATTTACCGGAGAGCAGCCTGCAGGAAGGGATCTGGAGGTGCTGGTCAGCAGCAGACTCAGTAGGAGTCAGGAGTGTGCCCAGGCAGCCCAGAGGGCAAACACCTCCTGGAGTGCATCAAACTGGGCAACACCAACCAGTCAACAGAGGTGACTGCCACGCTGTAACAGCGGTGCTGCGGCCTCACCTTAAATTAAACAAGGTTGTGTCCAGAGGAGGGTAACAAAGCTGGTGAAAGAGCTGGAGGCAATGTCCTGTGAGAAGGGACTGAGGACTTTGGGCTTGTCTGGTTTGGAGAACCAGACGGATGACCTCACTGCTCTCTAGAGCCTCCTGAGGAGGGGACATTGGAGAGGGAGGTGCTGAGCTCTTCTCCCTGGTATGCAGGGACAGGATATGTGGGAATGGTTCAAAAACTGCGCCAGGGGAGGCTTAGACTGGACATTAGGAAGCATTTCTTTACTGAGGGGATGGTCAAACAATGGAACAGGCTTCCCAGAGGAGGTGGATAAGCCAAGCTTGTCAGAGTATAAGAAACATTTGGACCATGCCCTTAACAACATGTGTTTGGTCAGCCCTGAACTGGTCAGGAAGTGGGACAAGATGATCATTTTAGGACCCTTCTAACTGAAATACTTTCCCGGTCAGGGCCACTCCCGGGCAGGTGGGGCTCGTCAGCCCTTAAAGGCAACCCATCTATGTCCTAAGGACCTCGCTGCCACCGTCCAAGCTCGCTTGGCCCCGGCAGATGAACCTTAGGATTAAAGGGTGGGCTCAGTTCCGCGCACACTGTGTCTCACCTAAAAAATCCAATGCGCAGGCTGGAAGGTGTAAAGACCTTCCCCAAATCTTCGCTCGCGAAGACTGGCCATTATTATTAACTGAAATACTGTATTCTATTCTATTCTACTTTTTCCCTGTGATGAGCATAGCAGTTAACATCATTTGGATTTTACAATGCATTCCATCATTCTAAACTTGTATTAAAAAGACATACCCCTGAAGATAGATTACGTAAATGCATCAATGTTTTATGTCTTCACATTTACAAGACAGGAAAAAAATTATCTTTTGGGAAATAGATAAAAATATTTTTCTCTTTTTTTTTTTAAATACAACAAAACATAATTTTTCTTTACATCATATAGAGACTGGTTGGTACATAAACTAATGCAAACCTGATGGAATTTGGGAGAATAAATGGAGGCAGACACACTTTTTGAGCCTACCAACTGATGGAAGAAACTAGGAACCAAAGTACATAAAAAGAGATCCAAAGTTTCTCCAACTATTCATTTATTCAAAAAATCTTACAAAACCACAAATAAACTCTTAAAATCCACATCAAAATACTTCCTAATTATGCCTCCTCCCTTTTTTTCCCTAAATCAGAGCCTGTCTTCATAAGTATGGTTAAAACTAGCTACATACGTAGTGGAGTGTCTGTGTGCCTTCAAATGACTTTCAACTTACAAACAACCAAGTAGAGAATCAGCCCATAACATGCTTTGTCACACCACACAACTTGCCATCTCCTCAACACCCAGTACTAATTCTAATAGTAGTTTTACACTGACATACAAGTAATGCCACTGATAAACACCAGAGAGAACAAACAGAAGAAACACAACTATTACTAATTACTATTACTAATTACTATTACTTTAATAGTAAAAATATGTTCCAGTCAGTGTTGCTATCCTGATCTGGATGTATTGTACTTATACCATACTGTTCCTGATCAAACTGTGTGGGCAATATGTTTCCTGTAAAAGAGTTGTTTTATTTTATTCTGAGCTTTTAAACACAAAGTGTCATTCTTCCATCAACGCAGCATGCTCTATACCTTGCATCTTAATATAATTTCACAGTCATAATCTTTCTGCTTTGTTTCTGATTTCTATTTGTGTTAAGATCCTCACTTAAAATCTTGAGGAACATTCAGCTGCTTGTTATAATTGCTAGCTGTTCTAATTCTGTATGCTCTGTCCCTTTGATGGGTTGGTCCTACCCTCTAAATATGAGTCAGCCATGGAGCAACATCTAA